TGCGCTGCACTCCCCTCAGGCAGCGAGTTTTCCCATAATGCTTGGCTCTACTATAACTATTAGAAACCAAAATGCAAAACAAGAAGTATAAATAAATCACAATAATGCTTCTGTTGATGTGACATGCAACTGCGGAATTGTTTATTGCCTCATCAAACACACACACACACACACACACACACACACACAGACACAGACACAGACACACACACACACATACAAACAACACGTACGCTCACACAAACACTTTTAACATTTCTTTCTGTTAAATAAAAAGATACAAAAATTGAACACAAGCAGTAAATTACATACAATCTTTATTTATTTATACACATAAATAAAATAAACAAACAACAAGTACACAACAATTCCCAAGGATGGGATTTAGGAAAACATGAAGTGTAGGGTAACGTGTAAGGCTTTGATTTGGTTAAGGGATATGAGTAAAAATTGAGGAGGAAGGGGAGGGGCAGAAATCGGAGAGGTAGAGAGCAACAGAGCCACATCATAATGCTTATAATGATTCACATCATCGGCAAGTGTTGAATGTATTAAGGCCAGAAAGCAGAATATTACAAGAGAAAGGAAACACTATTTTATTCTTTTAACAATTGTGCCTAAATTATGTAGTTTTTCTTGCTTTTACCAACATGTAGAATTTGTTTTTGTTTGTTTTGTTTTAGTAGAGGTTTTACGGCGCTCGTAACTGCATAAGGTCATAGGAGCGCTAAGGGGTGGATGTCAACAGGGAAACCAGACTTACTCTGCTCACCTCTCTAGCTTCAACAGCACAAAGTCTGCTTCGACTATCAAGGCACCCCGGAAATGGCGAGTCACAAGAGTATGACAAACACACAAAAGATGTAGAGGAAAAAATGACGATCGTAAGGATTAGGACATAAAAAGCAGCAGTTCCCTGTTGCAGTTCAGGCACAGTTATGAGCATGACATTGATGAATCAGCCCATTTACAATTACAATTTAACTGTACATAAAAACATGGTAATAATGCCCCCCCCCCCCTTTTGGGAATGGCCTAAAGACACTTCAGTCAGTAGAACTACCACGGGGCTGATTTAGAATTTGAATTTCAACAAAATATTTCTTGAGCACATAATGTAACCGATACCACAGATTAAAGAACTGAAAAAAGGACTTATTACATTTTAACAGCTGGCCAACGACATGAACTTTTGGATCCAAACGAGTGACGCGGACATTTGATAGCATAGGTTGTCAGGGATTTGCAAGGAGCTTCTGGGCATAGCATGAGACAGGCATGAGATGACATAACTCGACTAAAATTGACCATTGTTCATGCCCATGTTATAAAAAAGAGATGAAAAACAACAACAACAACAACACATGCTAATGTGGGTTGACAGTAACAGAGGGGGACTATTTGCCAGACCACTCTGACCCATCGTAGGGCTCATCAAGATGGATGAGAGAAAGGCAGATAGAGAGAGAGAGACAGAGAGAGTGAGAGAGAAAGAGAGAGAGAGAGAGAGAGAGAGAGAGAGAGA